ATTAAAATGTAGTTTCCTTATGTCTTATCACTGCACTGCAATATTTGTAATCATCTCTCAATTCTTTGAAATTCATTATTATTTATGTAACCTAATTGTAAATAATGTAGGATAACATTGCAGCTCAATTGTTTTATTGTTTTTACTTACTATATTACAATATATTTTTTATTAATTTTGTATTAATATCCTTATAATACTTTAAAAGCGTATATTTACATTGTACTAAACTTATTATGGTGTCCATCATGTGAGACCCTCTTAATTAATAATAGCTATCTAAGTTCTTCTTATCCCACTACTATTAATCCACTTATGCTTTGTAACATATGATATCTTGAGGTATGGGAGTGTTATGCATTAACTACTCTCGCACACTTAATGCTACCATGTTTTACTGCACGATAAATCTCTGTAGTAACTAGGTAAGCACATTTATAAGTACGACCAATTAAATGAAATTCAATTGAAGTTTGTTTAGTATTCTCTGATGATCTTGACAGTATAATATATAGCTTTGTATCCCTTGATGATTCTGACAATACAATATATAGTTCTTATTTTACTACCCCAGTAAGCAAATCAGTATAGACTGTGACTGTAATCACTGTCATTTTTGGGATCTATTGTTGCTTAGGGACGTTTTGTTATGTACTTACTATATTGTACTTGTTTCATCTCTATTGCAATTTCATTACAGTACTGTTTAAAATGTATTGGTTATACTTATTTTTGTTAATGTACGTATCTTGCACAGTAAATATGAATGCTCTATAAACTGTAAATAGCACAGTATATTTCGTCACGTAGAAATAGAGCAAACTATTTTTCTTGTACTTAAACTATTATATCATCTTGTTATTATTTTAAAGAGATCCCACCTGCCTTTCATTCCTATTACGCCTTCACATTATATACTCTTTGCAAAGATGGTTGAAGTTGATGTGAATGTTGTGTGGATACAGTATGTCTATTATTATGCTATTATATCTAATGTATACAGTTAATGAATGTATTCGTAGCCATTGGCACAGATGATTATGTATACCTGAAATTTCTGTGATTCTGTAACTCTTGAATTTTGAATTTAAATGCCATTGGCATATGGGGCACGCTGATGGAGAGGTTGAATACTTCCATTGACCAGGCACTAATGCCGTTTGAAAATTCTCGCTATTACCTTAGGTCGGAACCCTGTATCAATGGCGAAAAGCTGTAACCTATATCTTATACGATTTTACTTAATGTTTTATATACAATGATTCTAATATCTGCATGTGGTACTTGTATGGGAAATATTGGTATTGAGCATAATTTTTACATTGAAAGACTACTGCTTATGTAAATTTACAGAAACTTAATAGTGCAATGGCACAGTACTATAAGGGAAGTACTATTAAGGTACTACTCTCTAAAAATTTACTATATTATACCCTTTATATTCTTTGTTGTTTATTATTTGTGAATTTGCATTGTAAAATGTGGGTTTTTTTGCATTAATTGGCATTATTGATAAACTTGTTGTCTTTAATGGTACCATTGCATTTCTGTGTAGCTTTAAATTTTGAATAATTAGGAATTATTCTTTTAGGGTAATAAATGCTGTTAATAGGGACAGATTTTATGACAAAGATGTAATTATATTAGAAGCTAACACATGTTCATAGGTTTCAAAAAGTTATAAATCTATAGCGTCGTGTAATTGAACCTTGTGAATAAGATATCATGTTGTGTCTTTTGGAAATGATTATTTCTATATTACTGTAATCTGGAGATCCCTATTATGTAATTGGTGTCCATCATGTGAGACCCTCTTAATTAATAATAGCTATCTAAGTTCTTCTTATCCCACTACTATTAATTGTAATTAACACAATCTCACCTCTACTGGACTGGTAACATATTTGAGTTTTGTTACGCTTTTAATACTAGCTATCGTAGATTTTGTACAACTGTGTCTTTTGCATACAAAAAGTGTCATATATATATTGAATGTCTGCTATTACTCATTGAATGTATATTTAGATGTGTAAAATACTAATGGTTACTCAGTACTCTTGAATAAGTATTGTACATTTTAGAATTCCACCTGTGTTTGACTGTTTTATCATTTTTTTTTAAGTTGTAGTCCTTGAATAACTATGTATTTTTGCATTTAACAAGTGTAATATTAATATCAATTTTTTTTCTAATGATCAAATGTAAACCAAGATTTATTGTGTAAAACAACAACTGTGACTTTATACTCTTGAATGAGTTTTCAATAAATGCCGTTGATCTGTAGGCTTCACCCTTGGCAGGTGATAGCTGCTGGTAGTAGATCTCTCCGCTGAGCTGACATTATTCGTTTGTTATAGCTTTACCTAAGGTCGGAAGTCAGTTCAGCGGTGTTCTGTAACCTATATCTATGTAACTGTAACTGGTCCGATCCTTATGTAATTCTATCCGGCCCTACGCACTTGTAACTGTGTATGCCTTCCAGGAATTTCGAGAAATCGAAAATACTGGAAATTTCCCTGCCGATGTGGGGGGGGGGTAGACTATAAGACCAGAAAGAGCATCAGTTTAGTTTAACCTAACATCTTGTCCTCCGGTCTCATTGAGGCATTTCTGTACCTGCAACTACAAGTAGCATCATCTTATGACAGCTGGTATACAATTTGCAAAATGCAAGCTTAGACGCTGCTATAACGGCAACTGGAACTGCCAGTTTAGTTAGCTCAGAGTTAAGCACAGAGTGCTGGAGTTATCACTATGCGGTCTTACGCACTTTAAGCTTTTTCTGTTGTCTTGTGTTTCGCGGTAGTTTGAAATAGTAACTAAAGTTTGAGCTCTGTCATATTGAGAAGAGTAAAACAGTTACTCTTGTGAACATTTCGAGAATTGTACAATGTTTCTTTTGAGAAAATAAATTTCATCGAACTTTAATCAGTTCTGTGTGCATTCAATCCATTACGAACCTGTGCCGTCCAACCGGTATAGTGGTTAGCGTCTCTGACTGCCATGCCGAAGGGCTCGGGTTCGAATCATGAAGAAGGCATGCATATTTGTAAAATGTATAGTGCCGGTGATTCATGGCGGTACTATAAATATGCGGCTAGTCGAAAGTCCTCTCGTGTGGTTTGATGGAAGGGAAGAGGGGGAGACCCTCTGGCCCGTCTCTCCGGGGTGCTCTCCATCAAAAGTTGGGGCGGAAATGAGCTAAATCGTACTGTCACCTGTAAGTGCACCTGTGCTCAAGCCTGTGCTCAAGCCAGGAATTTCTTGGGCTTAGGCTGACGTTACTGTCAGTTAAGTAAGCCTAAGTAACAACAACAACGAACCCGCACGCACTTAACAGGATGTTGTCACCAAATGCTATCGCCGTATATTATTTTTCAAGAAGTAATATAAATTTAATTTTTAAGAAGTGATAGCGAACATAGAAAAAAATGTATGTCAATGTGCATAAAAGTATGTTGCTGTCACATGTTACTCCATGTATTATTTTTAAAGAAAAAAATATAGCGAAAATTAAAAAAAGAGTGCATGGCAGCATTTGACTCTTTATCCGGAATTCTAAAGATACTATCTCACAAGCATTACCCCACTACTGCACCCTGCAGGATATTTTGCTTGTTTTGTTTTCGCCCTGGGCTGCTTCACTTCCCCTTAAAAGACCCGGTGGATCTAGGCTTCCCCATTTCAACCATATAGATACCGTGCTAGTGCAGATGCCTAATCAATATAGAGACAGAACCTCCAACATAAAATAATTTTAACTTTCGAGTGCCGGTTTTTTGGCATTTGCCGAAGCGTAGCATATTTAATTTTCCTTTAAAATTTAATCTGTTTGTTACTGATTAACCAAGCTAAGGGATTTAAGAACAATAAATGTAGTTCTTTACCTCTTTTCTTGGTTACCAGCTGGGCCCGTGAAATGACACTAGATGGATTTATTAAAAAATTATATATATATTTCCTTTTTATAATAACTAGTTAAAGTGACTGTCCAAGCCAGCAGCAAGTTATTTGAAAAGTGAAACGGGCAACAAAAGTTATTTGACGCAAAAGTAAGGTTCGGGAATAGTAGCCCTTCTGAGCTAAAATATTTATTGTAATACTTAATACTTAATCGGGAATTCTAAGGGTATGCTGTTTTTAAAAATTTTGGGAAATTGCTATTGAATTTTATGTGGCGTAAATGTGAAGAAAGTGGCGTTTTAAGTTAAAAAGACAAAAAGTTGCGTCAGCAGGAGCGAGTCCAAGAGCAGATAAACAATCTACAAACTCAACGGGAGGATAAAAAACCTTAATAAACCCTCAGGTGCCACTTAAAATCTGAATCCTTTCAGATTTTCTTTTCTTTTCTCCCCCCCCCCCTCGATAGGCATGCCTTCAAAATTCTTTTAGGTATTTCTTCTCTGAAGTTATATTTGACGAAATATTACTGTGATTATACCGAATATATTCTAAGCCAATTATAGGTAAGCAGGAGGGGCAATAAGAAATCAATCCTTTTTACACTTAATTGAAATTGCATTCCCCCCATACGAATTCTTTGAACCTGCAATCGCATAAATGTTTTTGTATTGCTTCAATAATTTCCTTAATGAAGTGTATATATTAAATAAGTGCAAACAAAGTGTCCTCCTATAGATATCATTAAGTACACCTTTTAGCCATGCTATGAGCTGAACCCAGACAACATGGTTTCAAAAATATATTTATATTATTGTGAAAGAAAACGTACAATTCTACAAATTCTACGTATAAATCTACAAATACTATAAGTGTATTTTGAGAGCCATGCTGCCTGAGGAAAGCGTGACGAAAGAGCGTAGTGAAATTTTATCAGCAAATTTTCAAACATGCATCGAATTAGCATTTCAGAATATTACTTTCCATACTCTTTTCATTTATTTTTTAACACAACAGTAAATGCAGTTTTGTAAAGATTAGTTTGATGAAATTATAAACGCTCATTTCAGCGATAGTAAGTGTTAATGAGCAGCACTAACCTATGCAACTATACACAATTCCTCTTCTGATGCTTCTTTTGAAGAAACAGCTACAACCATCGCAGCAAAATACTCCATAATGTTTCCCGTACGATTTGTCGCCGCATACCAAACACGACACAGGAACCGGAAGTGTCCTTCCTGCAATTAAAAAGCAGTGATGATAACACAGCAGCAACAAAATAATGACGCACTAGAGCTCATTTCGACATAAAAAATCTTAAATGAGTTTTTCAATAGAAATTTTCTACACCAACAGCAAAGGTTATTTTTTAATATATAACTTTGTGATAATCACTGTCAGTGCATCTGTCACATTTAAAAAAAAGCTCTAAGCACAAACTCTTGAAATTTCTCTGCCCGCAGACATGCATGATATATGGTATTAAAAACATATTTTATTTACTACAGTTGGGTGTACTGAAAAGTGAATATGAATTTTAAGTTGAATCGATTAGATATATTACTAAATATTAAGTGAATCTATTGCTTTTGTGTAGCTCAGTTAGTTAAGCAGTGCAGCTTTAATTTGAAATATAAATTAAAGATCTTACTATCACGGCGAATGCAACATTCTGGAAACTAGCTATTTGTCAGACCGAGTGCCTAAAACATGTCATTGTAGCATGAAATAACGTAGAGACTCAAAACAAAAATTCAGAAACACTCTGTTGAAACGTTTCCAACAACAAAAATTTAACGTTTAAGGAAACGGCAGTTGAAGTAAAGCATGAAATAACGAAGCCACAACAATGAGGTAAAAAAAATGTAATCCTATTCAAATAAGTTTTAAAAAGAAACTTTTTTTACTTCTGTGAAGTATCATATGCCTTCAATGTACCACAATTATTATTCCTAGGGATCAGGTGATTGGGGATCATATTATAAGGTATTTCTCCCCCTTCCCTAGCGTGCCTTCGTGGTGTAGTGGTTCAGCACGCTGGGCCGGCGAAGGCGGTTGCATATTTTTCATCTTTTCTGCTTTCAAAAAAATACCTAATGTCTCTACAATGGCGCCCGAACTAAAAGGGTTGTGGATGATGATTCTCCGCACCCAGGATTTGGCGACTAGGTCCCCTAAAACCCCAGTCGACCTTTAAAAAGGATAGTATATAAGGTATTTCTCCCACTTCCGTAGCGTGCCTTCGTGGTGTAGTGGTTTCTCTACACTGAGCCGGTATTTAAGAGGTCCGTGGTTCCATTCCCGGCAAAGGCGGTTGCATATTTTTCATCTTTTCTGCTTTCAAAAAAAATACCTAATGTCTGTACAATGTAAGGGCCCGAGCATTATGAACACATAATTCTTTTTAATTACACGGAATGGCTGTATGGGCCTTTTCGTGGTTTTCCTCATGTGTAACGTATATACGAAACAGTTTGCCTTAGAAAGTCTTCCACGAAGGCGTCTTCCACGAAGTCATCTTCCGCTCAGGCAGATAGCCCTCAAGGCTTTGCCATAATCAGATAAACCAAACCTTTTTAATTACATCAGGCTTTACTATGATTTTGTGATTTAATTCAAGTAAAAATGAATCAAATATCAAGAAAATACAATTTTTATATAATAAAACGGGAAGTCTGCTTTTTGAATTGACAACAAAACACAAGCCCCTTAAAGCAGTGCAAATGCAGATATATGGTTACGTTACAAATCGGTAATCTCAGAGCTGGCGAACAAGACACTGTAATTCATAGCAAAAGGATATTTTTTTTTCCGAACGGCCCGGCACTATTTTGTCATTTTTCGACATTGGCCACTCCTAAGGAAATTGTAGTGATTTTATTGTGGAGGCACCTGATACGCGGCCACCGTTACTTCCATAAAGGGACGGACAGCTACAACCATGTTTTCTCCGGGATTCGAACCCGGGTTCTTCGGTATCGTAGTCGGCTTCCCTAACTACTATACCATCTGTGCGGCGGTAGCAAAAGGATGCGGCCGTACTATTAAGTTTCGATTTTATCAGTTTATCATTATTATTTATTAGTTGTAGTATTATTTTAGTATTGAAGGTCTTTTCAGTGATGATTTTGGCTGAGCCAAAGACTTAAATAATTGTTGCGAAGTAGTAATTCCTCTGGAAGTATTCAAAAAGTACACAATTTTTCGTGCTGTCACGTAAGCGCAAGATATAGCTCTTAAAAATTAATACAGTTTATGTAAAATTTTGGAAGGAAGTGGGAAATGTTGTACGGTTGTTATATAGGATATATGACATCAAATCTATGAAATTTATAGAAACTCATATAGGAAATTTATTGTGATAAATTTTTAAAAAAAATGCTTTATGCCCCCAAAAAAGTAAATTTTGGTATTTCACTGAACTACAGCATGAATCATATCTTAAAACTTATTTTCCTTAAATTGTGACAATACACAGTGCGCTTATATAAAGTTTTAACGCCAAGTTCTTGCAAGAAAAGTGTAATAAAATGACATTCTTACTTTTTAGCCTTTTAATGTACAATCCGTATAAGTTCCTATAGCTGCTTGATTCCTTCAAAGGATGCACCATTAGGAAAACTGTTTACGGCTCTTATTATTGATCTTCGTTGTTGTTGAAATAATGATCATGGAGGTGACAGTTCGCATTAGCGAAGAGTAAGTAAACCACACGTCAGTATCAGGTATCAGTATTGGGCTCAGCCCAACCCGCCTAACCAAATAAGTTGGTCTTATGGTCAATGACAGGCCATGCCCATTTCAACAAAGGAAAAAATGAAACATAAAATATCTAAATGAAAATAATCATGTGTTAATAATAATTATAAACATAAAAGTGAAGAAAAAGAACAAATACAAACATTTAGACAAGAACAGACCACCAAAGACAAAAACGAAAAAAAAAAAAAAAAACGCGAACAACAAACACAAACAATGGTAACGACAAATTAGTAAAATAGACCAAATAGTGGTGGCAATAAAGAGCAAAAATCATACACTGATTCCCACTGCCGGGCGCTCACCGTTAATAATTTTCCTCACAGATTTACATAATTGTGCGAAATCTTTATAGCAAAAAAAGAGATTTTCCAAATCAATATTTTTATTGTTAAGCTATTAAAATAGAGACAGACCTCGAGGAAATACTTAGCATCAACAAACAGACCACATAGTTTACATTTATCGTCGTTCTGTATCTTAAACCTAGCGAAGTATCGCGAGAAACGCCCATGTCCGGTCAGAAACTGGTCGACTTCGAAATCATTGAAGATAATATTCTTTTCTTAGTCAGTTCTAAGTGATTCAAATAATGACTTTTCCTTTCAGAAGTATTCCCTTGTAACTTCCATTGCTTAAAATAATACGAATAAATGACTTTGGTTACTATTTTTTTTTTTGAACCCTTAACATAGGGCGTCCCCGAAACACTCCCTAAGGCAGCCTCTATTGAGAGCACAACCACGCTCTCATTACCGAATATTCCGATATGGACTTTAACCCAGCCAAACTTAATATTAAAGGATAAGGATAGTTTTTGGTATCTTGGTATCTTTAATATCGATAATCATACCATTATTATTTTCTGCATTATAAAGTGCATTTAAGCAAGACGTGCAATCTGTAAAAATATAAAAGTTAGAATTTCTTGCAAAATTACTTTTCAATATCCATTTAAGGGCATAGAGGACGGCGATGAGCTCGGCTTGATAAACAGAGTTATATTTTTCAAGGCCCAACTTATAGTGATAGATCTCAGTATCAAAATAATATATAACAAAAGCCGAGCCCACTCTGCCCTCATAACCCGAAACAAGGATCATAAATATTATAATTGACAGAAATACGGTTAAACCACATGTGCCAAATCTGGTAAATAAAGGGAGTGTTTGCGAACTACAGCTCTCTTTGCTAAAAATTATTTGATCGGAATGGAACTGTTTGATGGCGTTAGAAATTCGTTGTTCGATTAAGTTCTTTCAGGCCTTTCGCTCTGAATTCTCTACAGAAGTCTGTCCATTACGACTTTCTAAAATATGGAGTTGATCGTTTGTCTTTCAGGAACACATTTCTTGTGGACTATCCCTCTGCAGTCAAAACAAGGACACCAACATTATTTTTAGACTTCTGAAATGTAAGTTCATCTAACTGTTCTTCAGCCCCCAGAGATGATTGCCGTTTTGTCTCTGGAGTATCTTTAGTCACAATTTGTTTGAAAAACTTTGCTGCTTTTCGCTATTTACAGCAAAATTTTAATGCTACCTTTGCTTGTGTTCTACCTTCCTTTTATATGATGCAATGAATTGGATTATAAATGTAAGTAGTAATGTAATGTATTTTCGTAAATTTTCCCACATATTTTCGTTGTATAAGCCGAACTACGTGCAATCGAAAAGTCCGGAGTGTGAATTCCAGGGAAGGCATTGCACAATTTCCTTGTTTCTTGCTCCGATAAATACATCCGAGATTCGAATCCCGGGAACGGGCTGGCTGCATGGGTGTTTTCGTGGTTTCCCCCATGTGTAACGTGTATACGAGCCAGTTTCCCTTAGAAAGTCCTCCACGAAGGCATCCCTCCCCTTAGGCAGATACCCTTAGTGTGCTTTGCCATAATTAAATACACCGATAAATACCTAACAGCTCTACAAGGGGCTCCCGAACTAAAATATAGTGGATGATAATTCGCCACCACTAGAATTTGCGATTGGCTCCCAGTGTTCCCAGTCGCCCTTCAAGTGGGGAAGAATGTAAGGTATTATCTCCCTTCTTACGCTTTCCTTCGTGAAATGTACGTCCAGCTTACTTTTGTGACGTCCGGAGTTCGAATCCCAGCGACAGCACTGTATATTTTTTTAACGTTTCCTGCTTCGACAAATCTACTGATTCTACAGTAGGTGCAACATAAGTAGAAGAAGGCACTTTAGGGAGTAAATGTAAGTAGAGCTACAAACCTGTTCAATTTAAATTAGTTACAATTTTTCTTTTTCTGAAGTTAAATGCAAAAGATTTAACCTGAAATTCCTTGATGTAAAGAGTTCAGTTTGAAATCAATAATCCAGTTCTGTACAACATAATGTACCTATCATGCATATATAAAAATATGCATGATAGGTACGTTATGTTGGACAGAATTGGATCTGCTAACCACAGTGCAGTTATCTCTTCACTGTGGTTAGCAGATGGTTGGCCGATATGCATATCGCATTTTAAATTAGGTCCTAGAACTAGAAACTATACTCAAAGAAACAAAGGTTTCCCCATGCGGCTCACGACGCACAGCAGGAAACGAAGCGATGAAGCGAATCAAATTATAAGAGTGAAGTGCATGAACAGCAAGAAAAATAATGCAATTTATGCAGGTTACACGACTAATGAGTTTCCTAATTAAAAAGCAAATAAAACTGGGATTAGGACAAAATTTCCTTTGTGAATTTGGAAATACTGAAGAAAGATGTGGCTGACCCAAATTACAATTATCGCCCGGCCGTGAAACAAGTCTGACAAGTTGATATTAAGCAACTACTAGGAATTCAGCATGGCATGGAGCTGTTGCTCGGTCTTAAACACAGTAGAGGCCCAGGCAGGGGAATTCGACAAAGAAGTAGTAGGGGAGGGGAAACCGCTAGTCTAAGCACGTAGTATTCTAGATGGAAAAGTTTCCAGCGAGGCCTAAGGGGATGGGTTTAATAATAAAATGCATTTCGATTTTTTTTCCGCCTTTTACTTTAGTGGCAGGTCATAATTAAAAGAGAGACGTTCGGAGAGTTTATGTTACATGCCAGAGTAAGTTAACGAAGATCATAGCGAAAAAGGAAGAGAAAATGCTCTAAAATTGAATATTATTTTCGTTCGAAACGTCATCTGCAGAGTCTTTCCATAATTGTTCGGCCTTTAAGTTAGGTTACGCTACTCCGCATTTAATAACTGCCTAACTGGGTGATTGTGTGGAATGTAAGGTTTCTGTTTATCTTTGAAGTGGTCCTACAAATAGGTTCTCAGACAATTATTATTCGACTATGCATTCTTTGTCTTTCGAACTTAATAAGTCTTTGCGATCTCAGAAATTAAAGGGAATTTCTCGAAAATATAAATCTTTAGTTTATTTTGTAATAACATAGCTAACTGATATAACTTTAAAATGCATTTAATTCATGATAATTTTATGAACGCTCGCAGCGTCGTGGCAATTGATGAAAGGCGCTTCTAAATGCCATATATTGGGTACCTCGGTAGAAAGCCGTCCAAAGGCTTTCATTTCGTAATCCAGTTAGAATTTAAGTGCATATAAGTTAACACGTAATCTATCAGTTTCTACTATTTGTATATAAACTGACATTTTTATACGTGAAATGCTCCTTACATACCGCAGAACATTAATATGAAAGATCTACGATACTTTCTACTGCGTCGTAAACGTTTCGCATCAATTACAAACAAACAGAATTCCGAACATTAACCTTGAAAATTATATCTACGGCGCAGATGGAGGGAATGGAAGGGGGCTGAAAAGTTGCAAGCCGACTTTTCGAGTCGTGTTCTGTAGTGCTGAAGCCTACAGATCTAAGTGACCCACTGTGATCTCCAAATGAGCCATGAAACGTAAATTGATTGATTATACTTCTTTCCAGCTCATTTTCTTCCCCACAGATTACATAAACAGTATTATACATATTTCATCAAAAAATAGTTAAAAATAAAACTGTTCGAAAGTTTTGCCTTTTCCTTTCTAGCCCTGCTACAAAATTCATTAATGTAAGCCCAATACTTCTTAAATTTCTTGATTATTTCTTATCATACAGGGTTGATCCTTATTCAAAAACTTCAGGAATAGTCACCTAAAATTCCTCTTCAAAATAAAATACGATTATACGATAAAATTGATGACGTGAAATCTGTCGTTCATATATGTATCGTTACGATTTATTCCTTAAATGACTATAATACTTAGCTACCAATTATTTTACTGTTTCTTCTTCTAAAATGAATTGGATTCAGCGGTTCCCCCTTCTTCCACCATTTCTTTTTGTCCATTAAATCATTAGCCCATTAAATTCCACTTTTTGGCAAAAGAACATGAAACACGATATACATTGTGTCCTAGCTGCTTTTTTAAATTTATTTAAACTGCAAATGAAGTCGTGGTATTGTAAACGATGCTGTGCTCGATATGTCGTTAGCGGTGCTACTGGACATATCTTTAGGCCAGGATTCGAATCCTGGAGTAGGCATAGATGTTTGTTAATGTATAATGCCTTTGCAGCATGAGAACGCTTTAAATACCATCGAGCCGAGAGTCTCTCCAGAGATGGGATCCATCCTGTGTCAAAAGAGTAAGATCAAAAGATTACTGAGTAAATTGCTACTGTCAGCTTTAAGAGGCTGCTCTCTCCTTCTTGGCCACAATAAAACGCGGAGATGTGGTATAGAATCTGATCTAAGGTAAAGATTAAAAGCAAACAGCTGCTTTTAAAACAGCGAGGTGCCGAAAATATCAGTTAGATTTTGGAAATATTCAACGATGCTTCAGATACCGATATATCCGTCTTATTATGAGATACTTTAAATTTTAGAGCT